AACTTTCATTTTTGAGAAGAACTTACAAAAACTTTCAATTCATATTGCTGTGAAAATCTACCTAAAAAGATGTCGATTAAACTTTCAAAAATACTTCAAATCTCTTCAGACAAACTCTTCTTTTTGAGTGTATATTCCTAAAAACCACTCTTTTTATGCAGACTGTGCACATATAGAAGAATTTTGCACTGTTAAAACAAGTGCACGACAGCTAAAGATGAGAACATATAACAGTATCTGCTACTTCTATGAGAGAAGTTATGAAAACGCAACTTGTAACAAACTTCTTGAACTTTATAAAGCTTGATGTTGCAAATTAAAAGAGAAACAGCAGAACGATAAGACGGTGCAAAAAGTTAAACAACTCTGTGTCAACATAAATTTCCGCAAAACACGTTTTAAAATTACGTAGTGGACAAACTGCATAATACAACGACTGCTGAGCGAGTTCTCAAAGTCAAAATTATACACTTACAGTTCCGTAGCAGAAAAAGCCATCCTCACTTTGCATTAGAACTATTAGATAGCTGGTATATAAAGATTAGCAACTGTAAATGATTCGTGATATAATCGGTGCTATAACTCAGCTGGCAATAAATAGAAGCTGCAGTAAATGTAACAAAGAAAAGTGACATTTTTAATTTGAAAGAAAGTGGCACTCGCACTACGTGACTGACACATAACCATAACCACTAATTTCGAAGTTATTTAGCTAAAAGGTGCAAATTTTTTGATTTCTGGCTATTAATAAAGAAATAGTCAGACGAACGGTGAAATAACGCGATAAAGTGAAATGATCGTTCCTCTCAGCTTCTTCGCTTAATTTAAGCAAAATTTCCTTTGAAATCACTCACTAGCATCAGCTTTTAATTTTGAAATTTTTTTCCAATTTGGGAAACTGTCCATCCCTTTTATGGCTGAGAAGCGTCAATGAAAAATGTCTACCGGAGAAGCACCGTTTATGGTGCCGCTAAACAAGTACCAATAATGACAATCGTCAATGAATAAATTTTGTTCATCAAATAAAACGGTACCAGTTTAGGCCCTGTCAAGCATATCGTTTTGAGCTTACAACAGTTACCGATGAGACGCTGATAACAAAAATAATAATGACAACATCTTCCATTCATCAGGCAATGTTAAAATTCTTTTAAAAAAACAAAAACAAGAAAAAAAGCAAATAAGCAAACAAACTGGCTCCAAATGACAGTCTCTAAACAATTTTAACTTTCAAATGAACAACTTTCATTACTGCAAAAAACTTGTTTTTCGGTTAATAAATGGAAATATAGCAATTGAGTAAAAAATGATGGAAAACTGCAACGCGTATTTGAGTATCTATTCATTCGCCCGTTCATTTATTCATTCTTTATTTCATTCACGAAAGTATGCAGCCAAAGTACACGATAAACAAGGATTAGAAGTGATATGAACTTTAATGATGACAAAATGTCCACCCGGTCCGCAAAAAAAAAAAAAAAAAAAAA